CGTTCATTGCTTTCACCCACTTCGAATCCTTCAATGCTTCAGCTGCATTAACAGGTTCGACATATGCATAGAAAGCATAATGTACCAGCTCACCTTCATTATCTATTACATCATCTGATGTAATCACACAATCTTGCAATCTTACAGGCATGCGTCTTGTTCTTTGAGGTCTGCTTGTACTTGGTACATCTGCTGGTTCCTCTTGTCGAACTTCTCTTTCGACTTGAGTTTCTGGTACTTCGAATAGGATTCCCATGAAATCGTTCTTGAGATTTTCAGTCAAATCCCATTCTTTAAACTCATCTATGATCACGTCCCTGCTGATCATAATCTGCTTTTTCACTAGATCGAACAACTTGTAGCCTCCTGTCGAATGATATCCAACTAGAATCATTTGACTTGACTTGTCATCAAGTTTTCTTCTCAACTGATCTGGCACATGTCTATATGCAGTAGATCCAAATACCTTCAGATGACTCAAGCTAGGCTTCACACCAGACCAACATTCTTCTGGAGTAATTCCTTCTAACTTCTTTGTAGGACATCTGTTCAAAATGTATGTTGCAGTCGAAACAGCTTCACCCAAAACTCTTTAGGTAAATTCTTGCCTTTCAACATACTTCTCACCATATTCATGATGGTTCGATTATTCCTTTATGCAATTCCATTTTATTATGGAGTATAGGGTGGCACCACCTCATGCACAATCCCTTCCTTTTCACATAGCCTGTCGAAGTTTTTCGACACATATTCTCCACCATCATCAGTTCTCAAAACTTTGAGCTTTCGACCACTCTGTCTTTCGACCATAGACTTAAACTTGAAAAATACTTCGATCACTTCACTTTTCTTCTTGATCAGATAAGTCCACAACTTTCGACTGAAATCATCTATGAATGTAACAAAGTATTTGTTACCTCCCATTGAATCCACTTGGATTGGTCCACATAGATCAGAGTATATGACTTCAAGAATAACCTTTGATCTTCTTCCTGCATCCTTGCTGAAGCTATTCTTGTGTTGCTTCGCCTGCACACATTCCTCACATACCTCATTTGGAATGTCAATTTCAGGCAATCTTGAGACCATATTTTTTCTTTTCAAATCTCTGATGTCTCTGAAGTTGAGATGGCCTAGTCTATAATGCCATATCCATTCATCTTTGCTAGCTGCAGTCGAAATTCACTTGTGCTCCATCACATTTAGTTAAATCTTGAAGGTTCGACTCTGAGACATATGAGCCTTCAAGATTAATCTCCCATTTTCATCAAAGACTCTCATCATCTTATCTTCGATTGACACTTTATAATTCTTTTCGACCAACTGCCCTATACTGAGAAAATTTCTCTTCATGCCTGGTATGTACAATACATTGGAAATTACTGACCTCTTGTCATCTTTCCTCATAATCATAACATCACCAATACCTTCAGCTGCTAGGGTATTGTCATTTGCAAATTTTACCAAATTTTTCATTTAGGGTTTTATATTGACAAACCAGTCTTTCCTTCCAGACATATGTGATGAGCATCCTGAGTCCAAGTACCATTAGTCCTTGAATCTATCTTCATCTTTTGTTGTGACCATCATCGTCATCTCTTCTTCTTCATGTTTTGCAAGCTTTGCATCACTTTCTTGATTCTTTTGTTTTTCTGGATAATTACTCGAATAGTGACCATACTTCTGACAATTGTAACATTGAATGTGACTCTTATCAGGTTTTCGATCACCACCTCTTCCTCTATTTGCAACACCACCTCTTTGGTTGCCTTGGTATGGTCTTCTTTGATTCGACACGTTTCTTTCGATTTAGTTTCCTCTACCATTCGATTTGTGGTAGCCACCTCTACCTCTAAGTAGATATAACTTCAAAGTTAATGATTATATTGTGTAAGCTAATTTTAAATTTGTAGTTTAAAGGAGCATATGATAATTACAAAAAATGAAACACTACTAAAAATGAACGCTACTAAAAATGAAACTGTTTTATAGTATACCGTTCCAGAAATGAAATTCTTATAATATATCGTTCTAGATAAGAAAAGTTGGTGTTGTATGCACATCATATAAAAAAATTTAAGAATCACAATTTTGAAGATATTCTATGACTTCTTGTACCAATGAAGAATTACAACTCATTTGAATAGGTATGCCACCTTGTTTATATAGCATGTTTTTTTTCATATGAGGAATTTTATACTTGTTAGATCCATTTATCTTCATTATTTCAATCATGTATGATTGAAGAGTACTAAAGTTTTTGTTGGATTGCACAGTAGAAAATTCATCAAATGCTTTTTAAATTACACCAATAAGCTCATCAATTGACTTTACTAGTTCCTTTTGTTGTAAAGACTGAATCACACTGAAAAAATCTAAGTCCAAGACATTTAAATCAGGTGAATTTGAGGGTTAACATGTCAATTGAACATCAAAATCACTTTCACTTGCTGCACGACAAAAATATAGATCATCTTTACTAATATGAGACCTTGCGTTATCTTGCTGAATAAAATTTTTCTTCCCTACATCTTTTCTTGGCCACATGTTCTCAATGGCAGGTAGAACTTTATTTATCAAGTATGCCTTATTCACCTTTCTTGTAACAAAAGCTATAGGTTTTGTTTCTATTGTCCCTGCAACTCTGTTGACACTACTCCTTCTTGTGGGTTGTTCATACTCAAATGGAAATATACCAATCTTTCTAGAGTATATCTCATTTTCTTCATTGTCAAACCTGAGTCTAGTCACTGCAGATAAGAAGTTATCTTTATTTATAAATTTTTTGCTTTTACAGGTTCTATGTGGCTCTTCTTCATCCACATGCAAGTAATTAATGACTTTATTTCTGGTAATGTAAACCACTTCTCATTGATGAACATAATATTATGCATAGAAATAAACTTTGGATCATGAGGTAAGCTATTTTTGTCAATCATCGACAAACAAAACCTTAAACGAGCAATCACGTTATCCTTTTTTAAATAAGGCTTAAGTGTATTTGTATGCCGTTGTATAACTTCGACCTTATGCAATCTTACCAATGATGTCTTAAGAATATTTAGAGCATAAGCGAGAGACCGATAAGTTGCCCATTTTGATAATGGAACTTGACACATTCTCTCCAAATCTAATTGAAACCTTTTCCTTACACAACTTTGTGTTCTATTATAACAAGCATTACATGTGTCATTTAATTTCTTGCATATGCGATAAATGACACTTGTATGAACATTCTATGATGCTGCTACCCGTTCTACTACTCCAGCTCCAATTAGATTCCCATTAGCATCACTAGAACTTTCACTTGTCACCGAGTCTGAGATAAATTTAGGGGTAGCAAAGCGAGCGGCTCGTCCCGTTTAGGTCCACCCTGTTTAAGCCCGTTCAAAAGTGGGGCAGGGCGAGGCGGACCAACTTAGGTGTTCGAGCTCAAAAGTTAAGTTTGTTCCGTTTACTAACGAGTTGGCTGGTTAGTAGGCCGCCCCACCAATTTTTTTTTATTCTAAATTTGATTTACTACATAATTTAGAAATTTTTTAATTATTACCAAAGAGGTCGGAAAAATAAATTTTTTAACAACACATAATAGAACTTCAACATGTCTTAAGTCCAAACAATTCAAAAAATAAAATAAATAAAGACCTATTACAATATATAAACTCTTATATTGACCAATTCCTTAATAGTTAAATGTTAAATTTGTTAAATGGATACACTAATCAAATCATTCATTTTTTTAAAATAAACATTTATTTCTAAAGAAAACATCTGAGCTAATGTATTGACAAGGTAATTATTCTGCATACCATACAATTATTCTTTTACTTCATCCTTTTCCAATCAACGCATGTATTAGAAAATTATAGAAAGAACGTTACAATTATAATTCAATCTATTTGTATAATAATTTATAATATAATTCAATCAATATAATCCTAAGAGAAAATTATTGTTTTATAGTTAAAGTTGTTTATATTTTAAGTAAAAAAATATCTTAACAAAAAGTCCGTAAGAAAAACCCGTCCCGATCCATTTCGGCCCGCTTTTTTAAGTGGGTTAGACAGGACAAACCAACTAAAAGTACCAAACCAAAAACCTCAGATTAACGCGCTATAAATGGTGGATCAAACGGGCCAACCCAATAAATCTGGTCCGTTTTGCCATTCCTAGATAAATTATCAAAACATATAACAGACTTTCACATATGTGTTATTCAATCAGATTAAAAAATTGAAAAAAATGACCATGTATACATATATTAACGTGTATCACCATGTATATTATCATGCCTATAACCATATATGTTAATATGTATCACTATTAAAATAATCAAAACAGTTAACGATTTAGAGTATCACCATGTATATTAACGTGTCACTAGTGGATGGTAAACAAAATTGCAAAAAAGTCACCATGTATATAAAGTGTCACATAAGTAATCAGTTTGAAAAGGGATTACTCACCATTTTCATTTGCCATGGACTTAATTTTGGAAGATGAAAGTAAAATTTTAGTGTATTTCAATAAGTATTTTTAAGTATAATGAAGCACAAATTCTATTTATATGGAAAAGACAAATGCACCACCAAAATTGGTGGGAAGTTTATTTTGGTTTTCAAAATTTGCTCAAAATTTGGTGGGAAGTTATGGAGAAAAAATAGTGGGAAATTTAATTTGCATCTAAATTTTCATGATGAGAATTTTGAAAGTCAAAATTTAGAATTTTTGTTATAATTATTTTTGTAAAGAGAGAAGGTATGCTGGCCAATTTTTATTATATCAACATTGGCTTAAATCGTGTAGTACTGTAATTACATCAATTGTGTCTAGAATCACACTATCTGAATTGTTAAATGAGTACTCAGTATAATCAAAAGCGTCTAAATGATGTCCAATACATGTTATAAAGAAGTGCAAAGAAGTACAAATATATGATAAAGAAATCTAATACAAGAAATACTACAGATGGATAACAACACAATGAGAACATAAACAACTTATGTCTTCCAAGTCTTGAGAAATTTCACAATTACCTTCTTCCTGGGCTGAGCTACCTGAAATGTTAGACATAAGGTGAGATAAAACTTATCTCAGTAAATTTCTCCTATCTTAGGAGTCCTCTCAATTATGGAGAAATATACTGAGTTGCTACTCTAAGGCTCCTCACCATAATTACTTATTTTCATCTCACATAACATATAATGCAAAAGAAGTACAATCACAGTACCAATCACACAAATATCGAATCGTGGGACTATAAGTATGATAAATTCATAAAATGGCCTTTCGATTATTCGCCTTCTCGATTTTGAGGCTGCTACTCTCAAGGAATGGACATCCAAAAGAGATATACTTCTTCCTAGTTTTGGGGTTGCTACCCTCAAGGAAGAATATACCAGTTCATCTAACTGCCTACTCTTGGGACTGCTACCCTCAAGGTGTGGTATACCAAATTCATTCACCTTTCCTACTATTAGGGCTTCTACCCTCAAGAAACGATGCATAGGGTTTATTTGCTTTTCCTACTGCATTCAGTATACATCACAACAATTAAACAAATTGTACACAAGAATTGTCACAACAATACAACAAACATAACTTCAATTTTGTATAAACCAAATTACTTGTAAGTATTATTTTACTTAAATATAAGATAGATTTTTTAATTAACTTTCAAATGCCTCCGACTGCATCTCAAATCGAGTTATAAAACTCAAGTTATGCTGATTTCATTTTTGCATTTTCTCTCACAGTTAGTGGTAATTGATTACCAGTATGTAGTAATCGATTACCAGCCCCCAAAACAGTCAAAAAACCATTTTCCGTAGATAATCGATTACCAATATGTGGCAATCGATTACCACATAATCCAGACTGAAAAAAACTCAGTTTTATGCATACAAATCATTCCCAAACTACTTACATTCTCCCTATTCACACACACAATTATGGAATCACGCAATTAACATATAGGTAGCATGAAATTCACCATTTGACATGTTTAAATACACATTCTCCATCTAGAATTCAATTAAGCATGCAAACATAAAAGTATCATCAATTAAACACGTCAGCAGAGCTCTCAAGCCACAATTCTCAACATGCAATCAAAGCCATGAACTCACAATCAAGCATTTGATCACATAAACAACATATCATCAACATGTAAGTGCATCTCATAACAAGAATCATGCAACAATAAATTTTCCATAGACATGCATTAAAAATCTCACAAACCCTAACCCCATAGCATGCATTTTCCCATTAATTTCTACCTAAATTATCTATCTAGGAACCACACCTTGAAAAGAACTTGAAATGATGCTCTGATTCCGCTTCCCATGCTCTTGTGCCGCTTGAAGTCCATCGAACCCGTATGCAGATTTTCAATAGAATTCTGCATCAGACCTCCAACTTCAAATACAAATTCCGACCTCATCACAAACCCCAAGCTTAAAAAATTAGTATCCAAAATAAAGAGAATTTTTCCTAGTTTATGAAAATCAAGGATCACCTAGTTCTGAATTATAATGAGGAAGTTATTACCTTTTGAACGGGGACATGTGAAGAATCCGAATTATGAACAACTTCTCCAATTCCTTGAATACAACCCCCATACCTCTTGATCTTCAAACCCTAACTCTTCTTGAAGGAATGAAGAAGATGGATTGGAGATGATGATGATTCTTCAGTTGGGGAATGAAGATTCTTCAAGAAATTTTAGAATTGGTTCCACATGCAAACTTGTTGGTGATGGAGGACTTGGACCCTTTTCTTCTTCTCCCTTCTCTTCCGCATTTCTCCCTCTCTCTCTCTATATTCCACTATTCTTTTCCTTCCCAATTCTAATTTCCAGAGAGATGGTTTCAAGAGAAAATGAGGAAAAAACTTCACTTCGAACTTAAATAGAGTGAATATGAAATTACCATCATGCCATTAGATTAACTTCACAATTGCTAATGATACCACTCTTGCATTATCCCAAGGATTAATACACAAATTCTTCTAACTGATGACTAAGAATCATTAAGCACACCATGTGAAAAGACCAATATATCCTTTTTTTGTAATTAAATCCACTTCACTAACCATGCCATTCTTGGATTACAAAGGTCATTAGTCTCACTAATGAGATAATTCACTTCATTAAATGATTAATGACATGTTTAAAAGCTTAGGGGTATTACAATAAAACTGTGTAATTTGGAGTGTACTCACTTTTAAATTTGAGTCCCATTTTAAATATACTAAATTGTGAGAGAATTTGAGTTTCTCCATCATTATATAAGGCCTAGATTTAAAAACATAATATTCATATTTTATTCCTAAAAGTTAGAACTTTTGAGAATGAAAATCTAACTTATTTTACGGATACATAAATTATATTAGTGTACTTACCAAAATATCAAGTGCATCATTCATGTCAGATCTTTAGACAATAACATCGACTGCTAATGATATTTTGTTAGCATGATCAAACACTGAAAATTAATATTGATAAATAATAAATCCTTATAATCTTCACATGCTTACCATTATAGGTGTGAATGCAATCCATTGAATACTTTCATGAATTTATGTTCACACGACTTTATTAGGCGTACCAATAAATTATTATAGAGACATGGACATTTATAATTGTAAGTTTATAAGATAAAAACAAGATATCAAATAAATTATTATAGAGACATGGACATATACGCAAGAGAGGTTACTTTTGCACTTTGTTGTTTCAACCAACTCAATCAAAAGACTAGATAATTTAATAAATTATTGAGAAAAATATCTTAAATTTATAAGACACTACCTATAAAATGTAGGCTGAATCATAAGATTACTTAGCGGCCCTTAATGTGAGAACAAACTCACAATAAAACATAAGTTTTATGAATTTATACAAATTTCATGATTAAAAAAATATTATTGTATAAAATTTAATAACAATAAACTCAAATAACATAATCATGCTAAATGTATAATTTAAAATCAGATAAATATTAAATATTAAATATTAATATATCCAAAATAAATGTTAAACAAATTTCCATATACACCAAATAATCCTTTAAATAAATTATTTTAGAATTAACAAAATCAATTCTAAAATTTAAATTATCCAAAGTTTAAATAATCAAATCTTTAGATTTACTTTATAATTTTGAGAGCATTCAAAATATTCATGTGCAAAATAGTATTTCTCCTATCTCTCAAAATCTAAAAATAATTAAAAAACAAATAAAATTATTTGATAATAGAAGCTTCTTTTTTAATTCAAAACCAAGAATTAAATCTTATTTTAATATTTATCTTTACCAAATAATTACTATAAATATATATTTCTAAATGTATACTCTCAAACAACAAATAAAGTGTTGAAAATCAAAATCCTTAAAAAAAATACTTTTATGATTCTCAATCATCGATCGTTACCATATATATGATTCTAAATATATTTAGCATAATATATATTAAATAACCTATCTCCCAAAGAAAACCAAAGTTTTCACAAATACTTTTCTTCCAAAAAAACATAAAGATATTATTTTGAATCAAAACTTTATTTGATGGCAATAAATTATGTTGGAATCAAATCTAAAATTTGTGATATATATCACAATAAAATATTTAAATCCAAATAAAAACTTTATTTATATTAAATTTCTTTGATTTTCTTTTATACAAAATCATGTCAAAATAAATATTTAAGATTATAATGCAATTAAGGACCAAACGATTGCAATCATCCATGAATAAATATTTATTCATTTTTATGCAAAATATATAAAAGATGTATAATCTTTTATTAAAAAAAAGAACATAAAAGAACACGAGTACATATAAATTTATATGGAATAACTTAAACAAAAAAAAATCGTTTCAAAACAAATATACACACAATCATAAATTTTGTACTATCATAATAATTTAATAAATAAAATAAAACATCCTAAAATATTATCATAAAAATTCTTGTTTTGAAAAACAAATTTCGCACAATCATGGATTTCAAATATATGTTTTATAATCGCATATCCACAAAAAATTGAAGTTCAGTGGATGAATCTCAATAAATTTAACATGAAGGTTTGTTGTGATACCACTTGTTGGAAATTAAACCAATAACAATTAATCACATATACATATTCTACATATTATGTCATATAATTTAGTGCAGAATATAATAGATAATATGAACATGTATATGATTACAGGATCTACAACATGTTAGTATATGCAAGAAGAGATTGTAAGAATACATGGATCTATTAAGATAGTTTGCGTTGGCGGTAATCCTAAAAGTTAGAAGACAAACAACGAACACTTGATTACTTGTATGGTTCTTTTTTAACCGGTACTCCTAATATCTTGAATACTCTTCAGATGGGGAAAAGATGTATATTGTCTGTGTACGGTATATTGGGGATCATTGTCTATATTTTGGATGATGGTTGGTTCCTATTATTTTAAAATGGGCCAACGTGACATCCACTCATATTTGAGCCCATATCCAATTAATTAATTAATTACTAAATAGAAATCTAATTAGCCTTTTAAATTTATTTGATCACTTAATCAATTGAATCTCTTAATTTTGATAAATAGCTAATATAATTAAAATATATATTCCTATATAATAATTATTAGAATATAATAATCAAATAAGATTTAAATTATAAATATTCCAACATTATCTAGATATCACCACCCGTATCTCTTGCTTGTTGGTAGCCTAATTCTGGAATCACTTTGGAAGAGAAATCAATAATTTCTAAAGTATATATAACATGAAAGTAAGAGATTTTCTAAATGAATGTTAGGAAGCCATTTTGTAAGTTTGAAGAAGAATAAGAAAAAGAAGAAGAAAAATACATGTCATCATATGAAATAGATGATTTAAGAATAAAATAATTTGGGATAAAAAGATAAATACAGGGAAAGAGAAAAAATGCAACTTGAAGATGATTTAGTTTTGGATGAAACTTCAAATTCCACAGTTTGTAAAGATGTAGATATCCAACAAAAGAGTATCTCTAAAATATATTTTAGAAACAAGGCATATGATAGAAAAGAAATTGATAAAGTATTTGATGTCATTAATGCCTTGTTCACTAAGATCAAACTGAAGGAATTTGGAAGCAACATCATCAATACCTTAAATTCAAGGAATTCTTACCGGATAAAAGAAAGAAAAAATATTATGTGTTATTTGTATAATATATGTCACCCTAACATAGATGATGATACCTCAAGCTAATGACGTTAAAAGAGAACTGGATGGGAGGAAACTAAATCAAATTGTTTTTATTCTACATTTTTTATGTTATTTTATTTCGTTGTCTTGTTTTTATTTTAATTTTTATGATTGATATTTCTAGTAAAAGTAGTTAATGTATAATAAGCAACCAACATAGATATTTTTAGTCCTCATGCATACCAACTCACAAAATAATTTTTATATACTTTTGAATGTTCTAATATGGTTTAATTGAGCCTTACTGAAAGTTAAGCATGTTTATCGTAACTAATTGTGATGCTACATCAAACAAAATGTATTGTATGAGTAGTTCATCTCTAATCAACTCGGTGAGTGATAGAAAAAGCCAAACACTTTGTTTCATCATGATACTGCATTATGGTATGTACTGATTATTCATAACTTGCATATTTTTTTCATTGATTTCAGTTGCATTGTGTAAACACATTGATGCACATTTTCATCTTATATACCAGAGCTTCTTAGCCAACTTGTTTAATACTATATATCCTTTGCTAAACCACTTCAAACCTTCCTATTTTTTGTTTTTATTACCACACATAGTAACCCTTTGCTTAAACACACTCCTACCATCCTTAGAGTTAGAAGGATGATGTATTATAACTTTGTCTAATTTAAGTTTGAGGTTGCTGTTAGAATAACAACCTCTAGGTTTGGGGTCTATGCTTAGAAAATTCAAAAAATTATGAAAGCAAGTGAATACGAGTAAAATTTGCCAAGCAAAAAAGGGAATTTGAATCAACTAACTTGAAAAACAAAATGAAAAATATAATGATAGATTACTCAAAAAGAAGAAAGTCAAAAAATCAACCGCAAAAGAAAAGAAAAATGATATATGCAAAAAGTTGAGAAATTTTAATAGAGTAAAAGAGAACTCAGTAAATGGTGTACCGTAAAACTGTTTCTTAGTTTTGACATAGTGATTAAAATATTCCAACTAACTCCGAGAATTAACCTATCATCCTATTATATCCTACCCAAACCTTAGCCCCATTATAACCTAAAAAACCTAAAAAAGTGTGTTATCATTAGATTTTGTTAGCTAATTAGAATTTATTCAAGCCTATTGTATAACGTTGCATACTATGGATTTTGAGAAAATAAACACATAAAAATTTGATAGATTTTGTGAGAATGTGTAGAGAGATGACTGGTGAATCAGTATCATCAAGTAAGAATGTAAAAGATCAGTAGAACTCAGTAAAAATGCAAAGCTCATGGTACTGTTAAGAGAAGATCACAAAGGAATAAGCGAGGTATGAAACTCATAATTCATTTTTTCTTCATAAAGTTTGTATGTTAAAATATTATCTTTAAAAAGTTTATTGAGGACAAGCAACA